ACTTTTAAACAATTTATGCAAAATAAAATAATAAATTAGCATTTATAACATTCTAAAGAAATGAGTTAAATAAGATGATTAATTAGTATTTTCTGAGATTGTAAAATCTCTAGCTAGACAAGAAAACAAATTGGTAATTTTAATAAGCTAGAGATGTAAGAAATAAAAAAAAGACTACAGCAGAAAAATCATGAAGGAAACATATACCTTAGATGGAAAGGAACTGCACTTTTTTTCTTCAATAACTAATGCTAAAAATGTATTATTAATTCCATTAGATAATTTAGAACAGATCCATTTAAAGATCCAATATGCAATTAATAGAGGTTGGATTGATGAGAGAGCCATCTGTATAAAAATTGAAGTCATTAAAGCTTTAGCCTAAAGTATCAGTTCATTTTGATATGATTGCTCTATTATGTAGCTTTCTAATCAATCTTTTGTTAATGAAAAATGTAAGCGTAGGTATTATTTGATCTGAAAGATAAAAAACGACATCTGATGCCTGGTGGCATACTTCTGATATGAATAAGAGGTTATTAAATTTGTGAGCGAATGTATCATAATACGAATTAGTATTTTATCCTTTTTAGGTAACTACCATTTAAGCTTTTTTATAGTCAAATGAGTTTATATTTAATTTATCAGGATCATAATAAATATTACGGGTTTTTTTTTTTTTTCTTTTTGTGCTTTATACGACGAAATGACTTTAAGTGGTCCGAGCCATTCTGCTGCTAACGCTAACAAGCAAGGAAATAAGCCTCCCGATAAAATATTCTGTTATGGTTGTGAAAAATTGAAACCTCAGTATGCTTTTTCAAAAACACAAATTGCAAAGACAAACTCAAATATAAGTAACCGTAAGTATCTTGTAACGTGGCTTACAACTTGAAAATGAACTATTCCGTTCAACTTCTTGGAATTTCAACATTATAGCTTACGCTCCTGGTGGTAGAACTAAAAAGCAACATCATACCATATGTAAACAATGTACCCCGCAACAGAATCAAACTTTAACCTGTATGCTTTGTACACGCACCATGCCATTGGAAAAATTTGCAAAGGTATTGTACTACTTTTTATTTCACACGTTTAACTTGTCTTATTGTTGATTTTTTTTTAAAAAAATTGGATGATAATTAGGCTCAAAGAAAAAATGCCGAAAAAGCGAGATGTAGTGGTAAATTTTAAAATGTCAATTCTTTTTTAATTTGCTCATTAATAATTAATTCGTATATATTTCTTCTGACTAGAATGTATGGAAAAACGTGAAAATGAAGATATTGACGACAGCGAACCTGAAGACAATGATTCTGACGGACCACGATATGATACATGGGATGATATTTTGTAAAGGATGGTTCAATATTATCACGAAAAAAAATATATATATTTTTTTTTATTAAGCAACTTATATATTTGGTTCCGGGAGAAATATAAACTTAGAAGGTCCCCCCTTTTTTTATTATTATAAACAGTAAAGTTTGGATGTCAGTCAATATAATAATAAATTGAATCAGAGATACATCTGATTTTCCTTTTTTTTTCGCACTTTTTTGTGATCATTAATCGCTTTGTTTTTTATTTTTCATTGTATAATCAAAATTTTTCCCTTGTACTTTTTTTTTTTTATTGTTCGTGAATAATGACATCTAGTAAATGAATTTATATTGGAAGAATTCCAGAGTATAATAATAAATCGATCAAATTTAAATAAGTATTTTTTTTTTTTTTTTCAAACTCGACCTTATATTTGCGAATTATAATCAAAAGTAGAAAGAATTAATTAAGGAAAAAAAAAGTCGTAAAATATATCTAATTAAAATTAATAATAAAATGATTTTACAAACTTCAATGAATTAAATATTATATATTATCATTTTTCTTTGGCTGAAAATGTAAATCCCAAGTATTTAACCATCTTCTATTATATACACCGAGTGGATCAAGCCCAGGCGTACCATAAGTTAAAGGTGCAAAATATAAATAAACACCAAATGATATGCTAATTAAGATTATGCAAGCTATGATTGATATATAATTGACGCCTGCTTTTAAAATTGGATAAATAACTTTAGGTCTATTATTTGACATACTGCCACCAATTACAGATACTGGATAATTAATAAACTTTATAAATATGAAATTAAATACAACCGATGTTACAATATAGCTACATAGTAATGCTGGTAAATAATGATGTAAAAATAATGATCTACCCATCAAATAAAATGGCATATAATGGAAAGCCCATGCTAAGAAAAAAAAACATCCTGAATTATATAATCGATTTCTCACTGCTATAATTTCAATTCAGAACAAAAAAAAAAGAAAATTTAATGTGGGTTAAAGAAAAAGAATAATTAATTTTTTCTGAATTGCTTTAATACTTACGATCCATTATAGGATAAATGCCACGACGTCTTGACATTACATCGGCTAATAAAACTCCGACAAGTACAGCCATTGAAGCAACAGCTAACCACCATGTAAAAGGATTTCCAATTAAATAGATTTGTTGTTTGTTGACATTGTCTGTCCAAAATGATATACCACGTATTAAAAATGCCCAATTAATTGGTCCACTTGAATATGGATGTGGTTTTGTTAGTCCTGAATTGTGACTTATCATTAATCTTTGTAATTCCAAATATTTTAATAAAAATGGTATTTGTCTCGTTGGTTTCTTTGGCTCTAAAGGTTCTGTTACTATAAATGAAAACAAATAATTATGGTGAGTTTAGATTTCTTTATCAGAGAGAGAGATATATATGAGAAATAAATATTTTTTACTCACTATTTTTACCAACAATTTCATTTGCAAACCAAAAATTGCTTTTCTCAGCATTATTTTTATTACCATTAATTTCTTGTTGTTTAAAGGCCCATTCAGGTAAAGCTAACTCGTGTGTCCACAAAGCTACTTTAGTTTCATAATGAATTAAACGAATATAACATGATTTTGTCTTCCATATAGTGTCAGAATCTCCATCATTGATTAAAACTTGAAACACTGTTTCATTATAACGCGACTTATCTTCTGTTGGCAATGTAGTAAATTCCTGGTTAGTTGGCGTAAGTGGTGAAGCTACATCATGTGTTAATAAATTTGAGCTTGTATTAAGATGTTCAAGTAATATGTAATCTCCATGTTTAACCGTATCATTCTCTGGTCTTGAAGTGTTAAAGAAATTTTCTGCTGGTTTAACCCTCCAGTGATTGTTACTGTCTTCGTGTGGATATCCTGTAACTTGTTGTCCTAAAATCATTTACAAATTATATGTTTAATAAAAAATTTAAATATTAAAAAGTTTTATAAGAAGATACGTACCTTGACTACTAATTCGTCCATCTTCATATCTAAGCGGATAACGTTCAGGATGAGAATGTAAGAATACCGAAGTATCCTTATGTTTTAAAGTTATAGTATCATTATACCTTATCTCTGCATATAGAAACAGTTAAGCCATAAATATAATAAAAGAACTAAAAAAAAAAAAAGAACCGAGTTGAAATTACCAAAACTTTGAAAATTCATTATATTTCCATTCAAAGTTTCTTGAAAAGCAGGACTCATGAACGCATCGCCAGGCCCACTTGTGTTCAATATGAGAAAGTGAATGTAGAACCAAAGCAAATAAATTGAAATAGGCACAACTATTAAACCAATAGCACGTGCAGCAAAATGTTTCCTAAATTGAATCTAGAAATGGTTTAAATTAATTAATTACCTGATCTTTCGTAATAAATCACGGACGGTATCATATATATAAAATCTTATTTAATCGTACCATTGTCAACCCACGCTCTATGTCTAATAAATTCCATAAATCAATAAGAACTGCAACTCCAATAGTCATGACCGTAAACAATCCCACCATTTTAACACTTGTAGTTAACCCAAGAAAAACTCCAGATGTGACCAACCAAAACCACCATTCATTGGAAAATTCCCTAAGGAGGAGAATAAAAAATGACTTTTACTTGTCAAATTTAAAATTAAAAAATTTAATTTCATTGTACACTTACCTCGATCGAAGTTTATAGAATCTGATATATGAATAAAAAGTGCAAAGCATGAAAAATACAAGCATAGAATCAAGAAGGATAAGACGCGTTTGACAGATAAAAGCATTATCTACAGCAAAGAGTAATAAATTAACGAAAAATATTCTTATATTAAGACTCAATATTGCGTTACAAAAAGACAGTTTACCAAATAATACCAAAGAGGCAGCAAAAGTCGCGGTAATTATAGGATATCCGGATTCTATCATAATCATATATGTCAAAGGAACAAAAAGTGCGCCTAAAGCGGCAGGTAAAGCTCTCAAACCAACATAAGGTACATTGTTTTTTATATAATCATCTCCGATATTTTCAAATTCAAAATGGCCGTCATAACCAAGTATATATCCCATTCCAGCAAGCATCAATTTTGCAAGCGGAGGATGAACATCAAAAAAATAAGTTCTTTTAAGGTAAAAACTTGCAAATTTGCCAAAGTGAACCTCATCAAAGCTTTATAAAATATAAAATGTTAAATAAGATAGATAATTCAAGTGAGTACAATTAAACAAATATTTACGTACACAACTTGAGCAGGGTGATCGATTCTATAAAAACGAGTCGCAAATGATAATATAGTTAATCCTGCCAAGATACTTGCTGAAATTACACTATTAACTTCTCGTTTTTTGATTCTTTTATTCTGTAATTTCAAATATTATAAGTACTTTATTCCTTTCAAGAGAGTAAAATAACAAGAGCTTGCCTTCTTTTTGTCGTCAAACTCTTCTTCAATAGGTATTTCGCTCTCAGACTGTCCACTTTGCCTAAAGCGAACATTATTATATTCAGACATTTTTAGTCTATAATATTTGGAAAGGGCAATTTTTTTTAAAAAAATAGCTTTGTTTATTTTTTATTGGTTGAAGCAATTAGTATTAACCGTTAACCAAAAGATAATTAACTAAAGTTGACCAATCAAACAAAACAAAACTTTAAAATTATAATGTTAATTTCCCATCCCTAAATTGTGGGTGACGCAATCACAAACAATATACAAATCAGAAGGCACGTGGAAAAATAATTTCAAAAATCGATTTGTTTCCTTCATCACTTATTAAAACATGTCGACTCCAATGGATGTAGATAATAAGCAGAATAAACGTGCTGGCGAAGCTTCATTGTCTAATGTATTATCCAGACAACGAGTTCACTTTGGCAGTCTTGAAGAATCTGAGCGTCAAAATAGAAGGAAAACAGCCGCTACCGCAGAGGTATTTGTTTTTTTCCGGCTGTTCGTAAATCTAAATCTTTACGTTAATTCACTTTACATTTAACGGGCATTTATAAATCAAGGACTTAAATGGGGTCTCTTTAGAAGATTTAGGTTTGTAATGATATGATGGTTTCATTTTTAAATAGTATATTAATCCACAATTATTATTGTTTAGTTGACAATTCGATGAATTATGAATTGTCCGAGTCTTCTAAAAAGGCACGCGAAGAGCATCAGGCAATTTTAGACGAATTTGAACGTAAGAAACGTGCTAGGACACTCGCTGTACCAACCGATGATGGACGTGTTCGATCAAAGCTTAGAGAGCTTGGAGAACCACAATGCTTATTCGGAGAAGGCGTAAGCAGCCTTTATTTTTTTCATTAGAATATAACTGGTTTACTCTTAAATAACATTAGCGCGTCGATTATTTTTTAAAAGCCCGGAGATAGGCGTGATCGTTTAAGATATTTACTTTCAAAACAAGAAGGAACTGAAATGGTACCTGATGAAGAAGAAGAAACTGAATCTGAGTCTGAGGAAGAAGTATGTTTTACGTGAAATAATTGTCATGTTTTGTAAAATTATTTATTGACAAAAGTGAACTTAGTTCGTGTTTGTAAATCAAGAAAGAAGAAGAGTTTTTCACCCAAGGAACCTTAAAATTGCTAGAGGCTCGGCGATGGATGACAAGATATTCTTTACCCAAGTTAGCTTTATCAATTATTTTTATTATATTGATTAATTAAACAATATTTTAATTTGTTTAATATAATTCCTTATAGAGCAAGAGATCGTCTTCAACGGCAACGTTTAGAATACGATATGCCATTACCTCAAATAAAATCATTACGGAAAGATTTATTTGCAGGATTAAAGGTAAATGATTCTAACAAAATTGTTTGATTTGAGGCAATTTATGGGTTAATATTTTTATGTATGTTTTAGTCTTATGCAAATTTCAGTTCTCAAATTGGAGATGACCGACCAATTTCACAGTGCATTTTTTCACCAGATTGTAGTCTGATTGCCACTGGTTCGTGGTCGGGATTATGTCGGATATGGAATGTACCAAGTTGCGATACATTAGTTACTTTAAAAGGTTTGTTTGTATTATTGAATATATTTTATTACCTTTTTACTAATTATATACTAATATTAGGTCACACGGACCGAGTTGGGGGAGTTGCCTGGCACCCGCAATCAACTCTCTCCATTGATAGGAATGTAGTAAATTTGGCGTCAGGAGGAGCTGATGAGTTGATTCATTTGTGGTCACTGGAAAGTGAATTACCCTTGGCATCATTACAAGGACATACTGCCAGAGTATCAAGGGTTGATTTTCATCCTTCGGGACGGTTTCTTGGGTCTGCCAGGTACTTTTTTTAAATTTAAATTACCATTTTTATCCTACTTTTGTTTCATACATGTTATCTTTACCGCGATTAAAAAATTTAGCTATGATACTTCATGGCGTCTCTGGGATGTTGAAACTACAGAAGAATTACTTTTACAAGAAGGACATTCAAGAGAAGTCTATGCAATTAAATTTCAAATTGATGGTGCCTTAGTTGCTACTGGGTATTTAATTTGTTTTTGATTGGAAGCAATTATATGTTGAACGGCCAATTTAATTATATTCTTTTATATTAGTGGATTAGATGCAATAGGAAGAGTATGGGATTTAAGAACAGGCAGATCTGCTATGGTTTTGGAAGGACATGTCAAAGAGATTTTATCCGTGGATTTTTCGCCAAATGGGTATGTAATTAAATATCTGATTAATGCTTTGAAGTTGTCTCACCTAGCAGGAATTCTATTCTTTATAGCTATCAAGTTGCTACTGGAAGTGCTGATAATACAATTCGAATTTGGGATATTCGTACTTTGCGATGCGCATATACTATTGCTGCACATAAATCCCTTGTGTCAGATGTAAAGTTTTTCAATGGTTCATTGGCATTAGTAAGTGAAGATTGTGTAAATGGTATTAATCCCACATTGTCCGGGTTGTATTTAGTAAGTGGTGGATATGATGGATTTGTTAATATTTGGTCTGCAGACGATTGGAATCTGTTAAAAAGTTTAGCAGGTCATGATGGAAAAGTTATGGCTGTAGACGTTTCTTCAGGTTAGTAATAATAAGTGTATTTATTGGAAGTCAATTATTAGAATTAAATAATCATTGTTATTTTTTATTTAATAATAGATAATAAGTTTATTGCTTCTTCTGGATTTGATCGGACATTTAAATTATGGTCAAATGAAACTTTGCCAATTTAAATCGGGAAATTTTTTTATATATGTAATTTATTAGATTTTTATACAACTTTTAGTATAATCAAAAAAAATATAAAAAATAAAATAAAAAAAAGTTTTTTTGTTTAAAATATATAAATTTTAAAGAAAATCCTATATCTTAAACCTGACATTTACGCGAACAGGAAAAACATCTTTTTAAAACAAAAATCTGCTATTTTTCCAACCTATATAATTTTGCTATATCTATACTAAAATTGATATTTTTTCTGGCTGTTTCTCCTCCCCCCCTTATTGCAAAGGTCCCATATAACAATTTTACCTTGAGTGGTCAAATTATAAATTTAGGTCAATTTTGCATCAGGGAATTTTATTATTGCAAAAATTTTAATTCTATATGCCAAATATGATTTTCAGATTAGCGTTAACTCGATTTTTATCAGCCATTTCCCCTTTTCTATTGCAAAAGTCCTATATCATCTGAAACCTGCCAATTACGCGTAAAGGAAAAAAACAAATCTTTAGGACAAGGGCTTAATCTCAGCAGATCGTAGCACTAAGGCTACTCTAC